ACAGGTTTGTAGCCTAGGTGTATAGTAGGCTACACATCTCAGTTTGTATAAATTCACTTAATGATGAAATTGCCAAATGACACCATTCTCAGAATGCCAAGCAACACACAAAACCGAGAATGAATGAATGAATGCATAAAATTACTTGAACCTATTATCTAGCTTCATTTGGATAAAATGTTTTCTTTGACATTTTATCTGTTGTTTGGATTACATAGCATTTACCAGGTGTTTATTACTATCTGAAATGTAAAACAATATCCATACCTCAAGAATTATAGGACAAGAAGACAGTTTCTCATCAGCAGGCGTCCTGAGAGCCCTACATCCCCATAAGTTCCAACCCTGCCATGCCCTGTGGGCTCACCATGGACTCTTTGTGGTGCTTGCAATGAATCTCCTCTGAGATTCTTAAGACAGCTCAGCCCACAGCATGGACTTTTCCTCTTAGTGACCCTTAGAAATTCTGGAACAATGTGACCCAGTAGGCACAGATCCACCATGTAGCCGATAAAAGTCAAGAGGTATGAACAGAATGGACCTGGGGCCCCCTGAAACCTCAGGCTCCACGGCAGGACAGCTGGTTTTGAGGTACTCTCTGTTCATGACCAGATGCAACAGTTCTACTCAATCACCATAAACTCTTCCTGATCATCAATAGCATTTCCTGTTTATACTGGTACTTTTAGGAAAACTCACGATATCCAACACTATGTAGTCTTTTTGCATGTCCAGAAATTTCACTGTAAGACCAATTTGCCACATAAAATTATAAACTCCTTGAAGGTGTAAACTAAGGGATCAATTTGGGATTACATAATGGAGACCCATGGGCTGTAGAAAGATTGGCCTCATTAGTTTAGTCTTTTTATTAACTGAATTAAATGATTTGATCGTCAATAGGTTAAGGAAGCTGAACCATGTTTATTTGGTCAGATGTATGTGGATATATAAACAGAATGTTAAAACAGAACCATTTCATCTCAGTGTTGGGCTGAGATCCACAAATATTAAATGGCACGTTCCAAAGTGAAGTCTAAGGCCACCATGCAGGATTAAAAAACAAACAAAAAAAAAGTGAGTGAGGTTTCAATCTTCTCTCACACACATCAAGGGTACAAAAGAGTCAAGAATTAGGAAATTGGAGGATTTTGGGAGAAGTTGTTTGTCCTGAGTCCCCCTCGACCTCAGGTGGGAGAGGTAGGGCACACCTGCCCTCATCTGAAGCCCAGGGAAAGGGGCTTCACCAAAGTCCCTAGAAGACTTTGGTAAATATCTGCTAAGAATTGGTGGACACAGTGCCATCAGGTCCGGCCCACCTGGAAATCTTAAGGACAAGAAACGTCTGGCCCACTACTCTGATGGCAAGCAAGAAAAGGTGTCTGTTTTGGGATTGGGCTGTGTGCCCAAAGTTTGTGGGGACAAAGGGTGAAGCTGATGTGGGCCATGTGACAGAGGGAACCAGTGTGGGTTCAATCCGGGTCCTGTCCAATTGGGCTGCCTGAAGGGGATGGAGGATCGCCACAGCAAGTGCAGTGATTCCCAAAGTTGAGGAAGGCCCATACGTGACCAGCCTGAGGGAGCCACAGGTGTGAGGCTGGGGTATGGAGTGGGGGAGGGGGTATCCGAGGAGCCCATGAATGAGCCCAGAGATGGAGGCAGCTCCTAACATCTGCCAGACTGAGACCCATATTCCCTAGCCCTTTCTTTTCCTCCTGACTCCCCCTCTTCAACCCAGTAAGGATCAGAAATCCAGGCTGGAAAGATGCACAAAGAGGAATAAATGTGAGAGAAGGAAAAAGAGGCCAATTTCCCACTGCAGGCAGCAGGCTTGCATTGGGCCCGAACCGGGAACAGGAAAGAGGAGGAGTTGTGAGATGAAATGAAACTCACACGTTTGATATTAACTTTGGACTGTTTGTATTAATTAGTGACTAGAGGCCCTTTATGACTTGGAAGTGACCAGAAGGTCTTGAGATTTGCTTTATATTTCCTCCAAGGAAACAAATTTGAAGGCACAGTGAATACTCTGTATTTATACTCCATGAGGCCTACTTTTCAGCATAATAGTCACATTTTATTTTCTCAAGGAATTCAAGCCTCTTGTTCACCCTTTCCCCCAATGCCTTCAATAAGTAGAAAAAAGGACTCCATAACTGATAGTTTAGACAAATTGGAGTGAAATGTGCTGGGCCCAGAACGTCAACATATCTTGTATTTCTTTTGAAGGACACACTTGATGCCCACCACAATAAATGCCTTAATAATTCTTCACATGTCAAATTACAGATTTTTAAGTAAATCAACAAAAGGCACTCTAACAGGTTCAGTTTTTACCCTGTGTAAAGCCAAATATCTCCTTTGGCAACATTTGTATATAGAAATGGTTGTCAGTTGTTGATGTTTAAAAATACAAAATGGGAAGAAGATGGGCATGTTCGTTTCATTAACTACTTTTTAGATCAAGTCCAGCAAGGATGAAATGAAGAAAGGGTATATTCAGTTAAAAGAGCTCCAGGCCCCACGAGGTTTCCTGCTCTTTGGGCTTCTTCTCCAGCAGTGAGTTTCCTGCCTGGCAGCTTGCTGGCCCTGGCTCTGGGCAGGAAAGGCAGCTCTTGCTGGACAGTGTGGGCGAGGGGGCACCCTGGGTTTGCGAAGACCTGTGGTTTGGGAGATTGGTCTTGGAATCAGGAAAAATATCTTCAAGAAACTCCCCCACTATCACCACTTCTCCAGCAGTTGTGATCTGGAGCAGCCTTGATACTTTAATGTTAAAATTATGTCAAAGTCAGGAGTATTACCAGCACCCTCTGCAAATGAGCCAGGTGGCCATTGGATTCTGGGGCTGGGAGGACCCTGAAAGTCATCTGGTTTAACAGGTCTACCAACCTTCCCCGCTCACGCGAGGGGTGACGCTTGCGAAAGCCTGCAAGAGTCCCACAGTCTCTACCGCATCAAGATTTTCCTCCCACGTAAGAAAATTTCAGAGTAGAAAGGCCGTGAATAGAGGAATAACCAGCCTCTGCTTCACACACAACAGACATCAGTTGACAACAAAGTACCTTTACTTGAATCACACCACCCAACAGATCTCATTGCTCAAGTGCACCGCCACCATACATTCCAGAATTGCTTAACCACTGTCACCTCTTCTTTACCTAAATGGGGAAACTGAGGCCTTAATGGGTTTCATGGCTTATCCAGAATGACAATCCAGAGCCATAGTCTCATTGATTATGAATATGGTTGGGGTTTGTATTCAGGGTCACCTGCAAGTAAACCTAATCTATATCCACGGCAGGGCTTTCTACCTTGTTCTAGGATCTTTCAAAGCTTCCCTCTTGAGATTTTGCCTTCCTGTAAAGCAGCCGGCCCCTCAGAGCATGCGAGGCAGGCATTTTGAGAAAAATGGTCACACACCGAAACATCAGTGGGCCTCCTCATTCATTAAGGATTCATTGAATAATAAAAAAAGGTGTACCTTTCATCTGTGTTTTTCAAAACATGGTCCCCAGGGCAACTGCATCCATATCATCTGGGGAATTGGAGAAATGCAAATTCTTGGAAGAACTGGTTCCTTCCTTTCTTTTACATCTTTGAATATCTGGCTTAAATGCCATCTCTCTTGACCTCTGCATCTAAAATGCACCCCCACCTCCGAAACCCCAGACCCATCTCCCACTGTCCTATCACTGGGGTGTTTTCCTGCTCATTACACTTTCTATTGTGGTCACTCTGGTGGTGAGTTTTAAGTGTCAACGTGGCGAGGCTATAGGACCTAATTATTTAATCAAACACTAATCTAAGTGTTGTTGTGAAGGTATTCTACAGATATGGCTGACCTATACAGTCAGTTGGCTTTAGGTTCCTCTCCACAATGTGGGTGGGCCTCATTCAATCAGTTGAAGGCCTCACCAGCAAAAACTGACGTTTCTGGAGAAGAAGAAATTCTGCCTCAGGAATGTTGCATTAACTCCAGCCTGGGTTTCCAGCCTGCTGGCCTGCCCTGCAAGTTTCGGACTTGCCAACCTCCACAATTGCATGAGCCAACTGAGAACTATTATAAAGATACAAATAAATAAAAGGTACAGGCTTAGGGTGGGAGACACTCATGGGAGAACTTTCCAAAAAGTTTTCCTTTGGTAGGAAGGAGATGTTAAAAGAACTAAAATAAGTCCTAGCAGCTGGAATTCAGGGAGGGAAGTTACAATGTTCACAGTGACTACACTGAGGACAGCTAAGGAGGGTTTGGGTTTTATTTTTACCCCAGGAGCAATGGACCACTAGGAAGATTTGGAGAGGGGAATGAGAAAGGTATTTCTTATAACACTGAGTCACATGTTGCCTAACTCAGTCTTGGAAACTTATTGTTTTCTTTCTAATCTTAGTCCATTAAAATACAAACACTAATTTTTAGATTACAGTCAATCAGCAGAATTTTACTAATATTTGATGGAAATGTAGTATAAATAACCCCATTAAGGAGAACTTTTTTCGAAAAATATTTTCTCCTGTTGGCTTCATTTTTTTAAAGAATGTTTTTATATTTAAAAACTTCTCTGTAAAAACATAGCTTCTAGAAGCTAGAACAATTTGAGCAATAAAATAAAGCAGTATCATATTATAACCCCAAGTCTAAAATAAATATTCATGAAGTTACACTGAAATAAATAAATGATTGACTAAATAAATAAATGGGGGAGAATAGACAAATCTCCCGTATGCAGAAGAATTCCCAATAGTTTATGTGCATACTCCCACCCTCAAAGAAGGTGAGCAGAACTCTCTATTCCTTAAGTATTGACTGTGCCCAGTGACTGACTTCCAAAGAATACAGCCTGGAAAAGTTGGGGGCTGGGGGGGTAGTGGTAAGGAAGGACTTTACAGTGGAGAAATCTGCAAATGCTGCCTCAGTCAGCTGGTCCAGATCGACATTAATAGACACAAGTCATATTCATGGACTATACGCTTGATATGACATGGTAAGAATGGCATTTCACCTCTGTGGTCTTCCTCCCCCAAATCCTATAATCCCAAGCTAATCATGAGAAAAACATCAAGCAAATCCCAACTGAGGTACATTCAACATAACGCCTGACCAGTCTGAGAAACTCATGACAATAAAATGTAACGCGCCATTCTAGATGGGATACTGGAATAGAAAAGGGACATTAGGTGAAAACTAAGGGAACTGAAATAAAGTATAGACTTTAGTTAATAATAATGTATCAGTGTTGGTTCATTCATTATAATATACCATACTAATGTAAGATGTTACTAATAGGGGAAACTGAGTGTGGATCGGATAGGAAATCTCTACTATCTTTCCGATTGGAATATAAAACTCTTCTAAAATAAAAAGGTTATTTAAATACACACACATATCTTCTATGAAAAGTGTAGTATGAAATACGAAATTATTTTCTATGTACACACATGCAGAGATTCTAACACCACTCCATTAAACTACCATGAAATTAACCCATTTTGGTTATTGTCTACACCCAGGGCTTATGAGGGTCCTGCAGCCCCGAAAGGCTTCCTCTGCCTGCCTTGCCCTGCAGACCAGTGGCACGTAAGAACCTGGCTCCAGGCAACAAATTGTGTGTCTTTCTCCAGCCGGCAAAATGGAGGGCGTCGCCCCAGGAAAAGGAGAGGCAGACACAGGGCTGCTGCTGACCTCACCAGGGCTTTTGTGGGAACTGGCAGAATGTGCCCCTTCCAGGCACACACAGCCACCTTGCAAGCCTGGGGCTGGCCGTCAGCCACCACTTGCCCCCTCAGCCCAGCACAAATCGCTGTGAAAGTCACTGTAGCATCCTTAGAGGACAGAGGACAGGTATGTAACAGGCTGAGGCTGTTATGGAGGCAGGGTACTGGAGTGGTGGGGCCAGACTGTGCTTCAATAAAAACTTACCGAAACAAACTACTAAGTCAGAAATTTCTAGTATCATACAGTTTATTTCAAATTTCAATGAGCACATTTGGAGTTGGGAAAGTACATGGACAAGGTGGGGGAAGTAGAAGTGTATTTATTTAATATTTCAGTTGACTTTGATTTATACTTAATATATTTCCACATTTGGTCAGGACTTAATCAGTGCCCATTCACATATTCACATCCTGTGTTTAAATGATTAGATTTCCAGAAGAGAGCCATCATACCAGAGCACCTTGATTTACAGAAGTAGGCCAGAATATTGAGTGATGAAATGGACACCTCCACACTGGCGTACATACTTCTGGAGGAACATACGGAAGTCTGTATCAAGAATCTTACACATATTATACTTTTAAAATATTTACCTTGAGGAACTAATCCAAAATACATACTGAGATAACGAACAGAGATGTCCATTGAAGTATCACCTACACCAAACTTGGCAATAAACTAAAATAAACAAGCACCCGTTAATGAAGAAAGGGCTAAATAAATCATTACCTAACTACAAAATTAAATTATAATACTACTCTTAAAAATAATTTATTCCAAAGTAGATTCACTATCTAATGTAAAGTGAAGAAATCAGATTATAAACATACATACAATTCTTGCTTCTTTATAATCTTTAATGTTTTCTATATTCATATTTCTACATGAACAGATATTACTTTCATAAATAAAAAAAAGAACTCATAATTTTTTTTTTTTTTGGTAATATCCCAAACAGGAAGTATGGAGAATCAGATTCAAGTTCCAACTCCAAGAGGTTGTTGGCTGACCGTTAGTGGAGCAAAATTTGAAGTCCACATTGTTTAAACTAAGGGTTTGAGCTCAACAATCCAAGCCCCTGACATTCCATAATTCCATTATAGAACATACATTTCTATACCACATTACAGTGAATGAAGAACTTTGCCTCTGCGCATCTCATCTTTAGAACTTTGGTTATTTCCTCCAAGAAAATTAAGTAGTTAAATAATTCTAATTATTAATTACTGCAACTTACGTTGGCTGCATACTCTTCTTTTACAGAAAAGCAGAATAACAATAAAATAAGTTATACCAGCTACTCTTAAAAGCTCTGCTGTTCCCTCTATAAATTTAACTTGGAAAATAGAGCCTATCCTGAAAGAGTATCTTTTGCATAGCCATTCTTTTAAAACAAATAATTGTCACTGTTTATTAGAATGATATTTTATTCTGCTTCCTGAAATAAAAAGTTAAGAGTCATTGTGACCTGCGTGATATCCAATTCTGGGGTACAGCAGTTAGCAAACGTGTTGAAAGTAGATGAAAACATAAGAAATGAATGGCAACAGGAAAGAGGTGGGTTGTAGGAGAAAGGACACTCTGGCTTGAGAGTCAGCACCTCAGGGTTCTGGTCTCAGGTTCTCTGTTCTCCTTTTTATTTTTTTAGAGATGGTCTTGCTCCGTCACCCAGCCCGGAGTGCAGTGGCTCAATTATATCTCACTGAAGCCTCAAATTCCTAGGCTCAAATGACCCTCCTGCATTAGCCTCTCAAGTAGCTGGTACTACAGGTGCACACCACCATGCTCAGTTAATTTTTTTACTTTTTGTAGAGACAGGGTCTAGTTAGGTTGCCCAGGCTGGTCTCAAATTCCTGGCTCCAAGCTATCTTCCTGCCTTAGCTTCCCAAAGTGCTGAGATTATAGGTGTGAGCCACCATGCCTTGCCCAGGTTCTCTGGGCTCACCTAGCTTTATAACCTTAGTGCTATCATTTGAAAGTTTGTTCCCTCCCAAGCTCATGTTGAAATTTAATTGCTATTGTAACAGTATTACGGAAAAGGACTTTTGAGAGGTGATTAGTCTACATGAGATCCATCTTTATTAGTGTGATTAATGCCATTATAAAAGGAAAAATTCAGCCCCTTTTGCCTCTGGCCCTTCCACCTTCCACCATCTGATGGCACACCCAGAAGGCCCTTGCCAGATGCCATCACCTTGATCTTGGACTTCCCAGCCCCCAGAACTATAAGTCAATAAATTTCTGTTCACTACAAATTACCCAGTCTCAGATATTCTGTTATAGCAGTATAAAATAAACTAAGACATCTAGATAAATCAATTAATCTCTCTGAGTCTCAGTTTCCTCATCTATAAAAGTAACAGGCTATATTAAAATAATATTTAAGGATTCTTTCACTTATAAAATTCTTCTCTGGATGAAGTTTTTAAAGAAATGTGTGGTTTTAAAAGCAAGAATAAGAGCCAGAAAATGGTGATTCATGCCTGTAGCTCCAGCTATTTAGGAGGCTGAGGTAGGAGGATCACTTGAGCCCATGAGTTCTAGGTTGCAATGAGCTATGATCACACTACTGCACTCCAGCCTAGGAGACAGAGTGAGACTCCATTTTTAAATAAATTAATTAATAGAAAAAAGATTTAATTTCTTTAGTATTTGTATTCCATAGCAAAGATAACCAAAATCTGAATATTTAAGAGCCATTTATGTTTAATAATTTTCTACTATATTTTTGGTTAAAAATTAGGTTTAAAAAAATGAGACAATTTCTAGCTGCCAATTTCTACAATACTATGATTATATGGAGCAAGTAACAAAAACACTTTCAATACTGGAGAGAGTTAGAAGTTGAAGTTGGGTAGGCAGCTTTATGCCATGATTTTTTGAGACTACAAGCTCTCCTGGGACATGCTGAATGGGCTGAGCACCAAGAATCAATGACATCAAACAGAAGCCTAACCCTCATCTGAATTCTGCCCAAGACTGAGCTTCACCTTTTTGGAAGAAAAGAAAGAAAACTTAAAAACTTTAAAGTCTGGTGGTTTTCAAAGCTAGATGCACCTTAGAATCCTGAGAAGAGTTTTAAAATAATAGTTATACCCAGGCCCTATCCCATACCAATGAAATCAGAATTTTGCATGAGTTAGCCATAGTTTTTTTTCTTAACTCCACTGAGTAATTTTGATGTGTTGCCAGTTGAGAACCACTGAGTTAATAATGAAACACAAGGAAAAGGAAGGAATGAGAACTGCACAAGCTGGAAAAGAAAAAAGGACAGGTTTTATTTAGCAACATACAAGTGCACAGGGTTGTACTTGCTACTCTATTCTCTGTATTATGCACAAAACAGGAAGAAATGGGCTTAACCATGAGAATTTGCATGACCATAAAAACAAAGAATTTAAGAACAAAGTGATTTTCTAAGGAAAGTAGAAACTACTCTTAAATATTTGGCCAGGAACTAATTGAGTCTTAGGTAGTTAAGGGTCAAGATGTGGATTTCCTGACTGTATTCACTCTGCTGTATATTTTACTCACCCATGGTCACTCATTTCCTCTGAGTTCATCAATCTGGCCTCTGTTTCCCTACTGTGATTTCCAGTCCTCACACACACATTCTCACATGAACCTTTCTAAACACTCCCTTGCTCTTTAGATCAACAACACTCATCATATGGGTCCAATAAAATACCTGACTCACCTCTTCTTCCCAATTTCTAATACCACAACCCTAACCAATACACTTTTTTGGAACTAGTTTAAAAAAACAAGGAAAACACCTTGGAGGTGGACATGACTTTCTCTGGCTTTTTTATACTCAAGGCTAGTTTCCCCACAATCCTAGATTAACCTTTGTCAGATGCTGTTCACATCACCAAAATATCACTGGGGACATTTTTGCCTATCACATAAAACCTGAATATCCACTTGTCCATCCCATCAACCAACTTCTTATTTCTTCCTATGAAAAATTACTTCTCCAACCAAGTCAACTGTAGCGAGTCTTCTGATCACCACATTTCATCCATACATCTCCATGAGGAGGCATTGCTGGTTCTCCAGTAAGTAACAGTCCCTAGCACCCATGGCCTCTATAGTGCACTTTAGGTGCCAAACAATCTTGCCAGCCCTTGTCTGTTCACACTGAGGGCAGAGAACAGCCAGCCTCTACTTTGATATCTCCCATCATAAAATTGTTGCAAAAACCACCGGTCTTGCCCCACAAATCCCTTCTGTCCTGAACTGAATTCCAAGCCTCCTTTTTCCTAATACTTCAGTCCTGTGATTTCTGTCTCTTGCATCAGCCTCTTTCAACCTAGGCACTATTTCCACATTCTCCACCTATCCCTTATGTCCACCAGGCCTGCAACCATGTTTCTGATTCCTACTGTCAGGTCCCCTCTGACCCAGCCTCTTTCCTCAAAATTGCTTTACCTGTTCTTCCTACCTCTGAAGTCCTGAATCTTTCTACCTGCAATCCAAACTACTCCTTTATACCCTTTACTCTGCTTCCCTTCTGAAATTTAAGGTCTTTTCACATCCATTCTTACATGTAACTGACTTCCTGACCATAACTTTGCTAATCAGATCATAAAAATTCAGCACATTTGGTTAGCCCAGACCCCTGGGCCTGACTTCTCTTGGCCTGCCCAATCCTGGTGCTATCTGAGACCTAACATAGCAGCCTTGAACACCATCTTCTACAGGACATTTTGTTTCTTTATGCCCACTGCTCTAAGCTATAACTTCCAGGACTGTTTTAACTTGATAGCATAGATATAGTATTCTTAATCCAAAAATCCAAAATGCTTAAAATACAAAATTTTTTGAGCACCAACATGATTCTCAAAGGAAATGTTTGTTGGAGCATTTCGGATTTCAGCTCTTTGGATTTGGGATGCTAGGCCAGTATAATACAAATATTCTAAAATCCAAAACAATTTGAAATCTGAAAATACTTCTGGTCTCAAACACTTCAGATAGGGATACTCAACCTATTATTTTCTCCATCAAGGAGCTCTTCTGTTGTTTTGGGTACAGCTTCTCCACACGACAGATTGTTCCCCTTTTAACATGTACTTGTTGTCCTGACTCCTTCTTGACCCTCTCCTACCACCTAATCCCTTAATCAGTGAGGGACCTGGATGCCTCAGGAGTAGTTACACAGACAAACTTTGAAGTCTGACCTTTCTCAAAATCCAAGGGATATATCAGATACCATGATCATTCCAGACTTCTACAGATGGAAGTTGGTGGTGACAAGCAAATATAACCGAGACCTGCTAAATACTATGCAGACACCAAATTTAGAGTGGCCACAAGCTACTCACAGCTTTAGATATGAAAGGAAGACCACAATGCTGTCCCATAACCCATCCATGACTGATTTTCCCCCAGTGATTCAGAAAGTGTTACCCATGGTTAGCCTATGATACCTTGTGAAGGAACAGAAAAATTTAAACAACACAACTTAACTTCAAGCAAGATGCCAACGTTATTCATTATCACAGAAAACCACTTGTCCCCAGACTTCTTTATATTCTGTGAGGTGCTATATGCCACAAAATGGCACTTTTCAAGGTGACCAAAGAAAGCTTTTAGAAGTAGAGCATCAAGCAAAATCAAGTGGCATTCTCTGTCTCTGGTTGCTAGTAACTTTTACCAGCTAGGTCTAGG